TGAAAACTAGAATAAAAAATTCAAAGAAAGTGGGCATAACGGGTTGGGCCAGCATTTGTTGCCCAGCCCTCATTGCCCTTGAGAAGATGAAGGGAGGCTTGTCATTTGAGGAGCAGCTGAGAATTCTGGGTCTATATTTTATGGAGCTGAAAAGGGTTGGGTGGAGGTAGAGATTTGATTGAAACTTACAGATTATGGGGAGGCCTGGATAAAGCGGACATGGAGACGTTTCCACCAGGAGAGATTCAGACCTGAGGGCACAGCCTCAGGGTGAAGGCACGATGCTTTAGAACCAAGATAGAGATATTTCTTCAGTCAGAGGGTGGTGAATCTGTGGCATTGCCAGAGAGCTGGAGGCCAGGTCATTAAGGCAGACACACTTAAATTCTTGATTGGCAAGAGCAAAGGGTTACAAGAAGGTGGCAAGAGAATGGGGTTAAGAAACATATCAGCCATGATCAAATTGTGGGGCAGACTTGATGGGCCAAATGGCCTAATTCTGCTCCTATATCTACGGTCTTGACAAATTTTGACCCACCAACACTGAAGCAAGTATGACATAGTTCTAAGTCAAGATGGTGTGTAGCTTGGAGGGGAACCTGCAGGTGGCGTGTTCTCATGTGTCAGCTGCTATTGTCATTCTAGAAAGTAGTCGTTTTCGAAAGTACTGTCTGAAGTGCCAACACACTTTTTTAAAAATGGGAATTGACTATCTTATAGACCAATTCAAAAAGCAGTTAAGAGTCAATCACAATTCTGCACCTCGGAGACATGATCAAGTGAGCATGGCAATTTTGTTTCCTTCAACAGGAGGATTTAACGAACCGGATGGCTTTTTACAAACAATGATTTCATGGTCACTGTGCAGCTTTCAATTTCACACACTTTATTATAGCCAATTTCCACCATTGCCATGGTGGGATTTGAGCCTTAGCCTCAGCCTCTGGAATACTAGCACAATGACATTCCCATTACAACACTATTTCATATGTAAATGTGATCCAAAATAACAAGTTCATCCATTTCAAATGTTACGGTCACAAAAAATTAAGAGTATTTACTGTTTGGAGCGCTGCACCAAATACGTCTTAAAGGAGCATGATCTACTTCATGATTAATTTTAATCCCTACCCAGCTAACCGAGAACATTAAGTGATTGTAAAAGCGCCTAATACCACATGATTCGCTTTGATAGGAAGTAGCAGGAATAAATCAACACTAAAAGGAAGAAACTATATATTGGTAAGACCACATATATATGCCTGCCCACATGAGTAGACTTGCAGAGCAAAAATCGGTGCAGCCAATCTGTGTGTAGACTTTTCCAGACATACATTAGAGATTTTTTGATGTTGGAAAAATTTAAACAAAGTACTCCCAATCAGTCAATTGTAAAGAAAAACATGTTTGTCCACTGATCACACCACAGGTGAGCAAACTAGCCCACGTGGACAGAACCATGATAGATGCAAATACAAAATGAGCAGCCCAAACCAGCAGAAAACCTGCTGGCAAAGAACGCAACTGAACTTTATTCTCAGTAAAACAACCACACTTAATTATAAATGCACAGAGTATCAAACCAGTTAAAATCTCAGAACTAAGAACACAACGCAACTTATTCAGTCACCGTCAAGTGCCTCTGCTTATGTCCCTCACCAACGGATTGCAAGTATATGAAAGTAGGCCAAGAGAGTTTCCTGGACAACTCACCACCTTCATTTCAATGAACGTATAGTCGAACTATTATCCAACCATTTTAAATTAGCCATACACAACTGCATAGGTATCAAAGCAATAATTAAGTCAGTGTACAAGTATCCATTAAAAGTGGCCTGAAACTCCCCAACAAAAAAAAACCTCCTTCCAAACACGCAATTAAAAAAAAAGAAAGAAAGAAAGAGAGTGATATAAACTTTAGACTGGGTGAGCAAAATCATGGTCACTAAGATGATCTTTCAGGGGAATTTCAAGAGGACAAAAACTACGGAAGAAACCGAACAGTGGTGGATGAAAGTTAGCAAGGAGCAGAGGTAAATTCAAGCAGTTCACGCATGGGCAGAGGAGGAGCTGGAGTTCAGAGAAGAGCAAAGACAAAAGGCAAAGTAAACTAAATCAGGAATATATAGAATAAGTAATTTACAGTTAAGATTGGGGACTAGGCTGAGAGAGGCAAATCAATAAAGGAAATTGACTGGCTAAGCCAAGATAGTAGAGTCGAGGATCATCAGATCAGCCTCAATCTCACTGAATGGCACAGCAGACATGATAGGCTGAATGGCTGACTTCTTATACCATATCTTATAGGAGCAAAAGTCAAAAACAAGACAAGTGAGTGAACAGGACTCCGTAACTTAGCATACTAAGTTACAGGACATTGGGATAGCCAAGTAAGCTCACCACCACTGGCTTTGAGAGATATACTAAATTTTGTCATGGGTTACCTTCTCATTTTAAGGGGCTACTTTCTCAGCACTCATTAACTGCAAGGTCGAGAAAAACAGGTGGTGATAATCTATTTCTGAAAGTGATTAAGAAAAGCCAGCTGCTGACAAGATTAATGTGTTTGATCTTTCACATTAAGTCAAATTTCACCTAAAAGGCTGTCATCCCTCAATTCAGCTCACATCAAGTGCTTTTCTTAGTTTGGAAAACAGATCAAAATGTCTGGACATCATAGGTCAAGACACCAGGGCAACAAGAATCTGTCAGTCTAAGATTTATAGATTAAATGCACCCTACAACTGCAGGGGAAAAAGCCATCCATAAGCCAAAATGTCTGAAGTGTCTCTGATCGCTAAAAACGGTTCTCCATTTCCAATAAAGAAAGACAGGCTACCCATTCACTCCTAAAACATTACAGGGAAATTAAAAATGGGATGAACCTCATCTCACTTATTTGCTACCCTCGAAGACATTCTCAATAGGACTGGCTACCATGATCCTATTGAGTTTCTGGTCACCTCTTATTTTCCTGCTCCTGGTCTCAGAAGAAATCTCAAAGGACTGGCTTATCCTTCATAATTGATCCTCAAACTCCAAATGTATGCACTATCCCTCCCTTGGTGTTTCTAATTGTAGATTTTGTACCTGGAAAGGCAGAAGTAGTAAAGGCAGAATCTGCAACTGAAACAACAGTTACTCAGGTTCTGTCCCCTACCATATATAAATGGCTGAAGAATGTGAGTAAGCTAGAAGGAATTTGGTTAGCCAAATTGGCAAATGCAGGAGTTTGATCCCTGTTCCAGAAAAGTCAAACATGCATCCCTGCCCTACTTGTAGGTAAGAAAAACCTTCCACTTCATTCTGGCTTAGCAAACAACTGGCAAAGACCTACTTTCAGGCAGTAAACTCAAGAACGTAACCTAACATATAACTGAAAACAACCACACTTGACATTTTCACCCATCTTTGACATTTTGTACAGTGAGGGGTTGCAAAAACAAATGTACCCAAGTATTTTGAATGTTGAGCTGATGTTTCAGACATGGACGTCCTTGCAATGGAAAGCATGGGATCGGAAACAGTTCAGAATCAAAAGGATTGCTGCCTGGAACATAATAGCATAGTAAATACCAACATACTTAAAACTAGCAGCTAGAATTAAAGAAGGGAGAAAACTGTTGTTTACATGTCATCATACTGGGAAATGGAACAACATTGACCTACAAAACTCACTGAATGAAATAAAAGAGCATGAAGTATTTTTCAATGCTGTGCAATAAGAAAACACCCTGCAATGTTTTCCCTCATTTTATTCAGGAACATTTACACTGATACTTTATATGCAGGATTCATATCATATGTACAGTTTTAAAGAAAAAGAGATTGTTTTGTAGCATTACGCTAGTTACTAAGGAACAGCATTGCAAATTTGACCAGCGATAGGGTTAGGGTACTTATGAAACCATGATAAATTCTATCACAACACGTTAAATCATAGTTTGAGATAGGTTGGTTTAGTAAACCATTACAAAATGAACACTTAAATAAAACCTATTTCACAGTCTCTCCTTTATTGAACATTGCCTCAAATACAAGTGAAAACCAAACATGAGGGGACTAAGATAATTCTGATATTACGTACACCCTTCAAGAGTCTCACGCGCTTACAACTGACATCTTGCATACTCTTCCAGTATAGATTACTGGTAAAGTGATCAGAGACAAATAACACAGACAGAGATTCAATTGTAATATCCACAGAATTGCACAAAGAATGAACTGACGCTCATTACAAACTGGATCAAGAATGTGAAAAACATCAAAAACGAAGCGCTGAATTTAAGTTGTGAAGGTACCCAAAGAGATTTATTTTTCAGTCATATTAGCATCATTTCAGGCATTCAAATTTGTTAGTTTTACAATTCGTTAAGGCCCTTTACAGCGAGAGACAGACATCGCAGAAATGCAACTCTTGGCTCTGAAGTGACATTCCAGAGGTCAAAGGTTATAACTTTTCAATTATGGCAGCATCCAACCCCAGTCAGGCAACAATTCCCTATGCAGCACAGACTCTTCCACAATCATGTAAAAAAACTGTACATGGAATCAGCAAACACTTAGGAAATGTACTTTTGGCATAAAAGTGAAAAAGTATTCAGAACGGCCTATATTTATCCATCTCAAATCACTGTTGCTACTTTGTGCTTCTACATTTGTCAGTAAACGGTTGCATTTATAAACTGTACACCTACCCACATTCCCTGCAGACTCATTTGTAGACTTTACATTGTCAAAATTCGCCATAAGAGAATTGGAACATTTACATAGAGGAAGGGGCCTGCACAGTATGCTACTCCTCCTTTTGGCATGATACAGGGTGCAGTTGGATAAAACTGCCAGCTGATTTTTGAAAACGAAGGATTCCCAAGTTCCAAAAGAAGCATATAATTTTGTACGGCATTTAACTGAGACATATCCAAAGATTAATACTGAAGCCTTCAGATGTAGAAATACAGTCAACAATTAGAGCTGAACTTAGCCTATCCTTCACAGACCTGGACCCATTCCTTTCTCCCCAACATTAAACTTGCAAGACGTCCACCATTCTCTATCTTCACAGTACCATCTTCAACACTGACTATCAGCACCACGGTCTTATTCTCTCCTGACCTGAACACAATTAAATTTCTCAAGAGCCAAGAAATCGCAACTAACCAAGAGGTCCTCATCTTCAACTCTCAACAGCAAGCTCAGAAGATCACGGTCACAAGCTAACCTCAATAACTAATTTCCTTGAAAAAGCACATTTTTAAAAAAACCTGAAGGCCACATCCAATAACAGGTACCAACTGGATGCACGACTAGTCACATATCTACTTCCACAAGCAATCCAGTGTCACTTTCTATCTTCCTCCACTTCAGCTTTCTCATAAATGAAGGAAAAGCTTAATTTAAAAGCCTGCTACAAGACAAGCCAGCAAAAACATTTTCCAGAGATCAAAAGATGGCATTAAAAAGTAAATTTCTACTCCTTAACCTATAACTCCAAAACATCCATCCCGAGATTATAAAGCATTTGGGTTATATCCCAACCTCGTCTCCTCCTCCTGTTTCAGTTTCCCATAAAAAAAAACTTATACCACATGAAACATTCAGTAGCAAATTAGACAAATTTTTTCAGGAAGTAAATCTGTATAACCTTAACAGCCCAACAGGCAAGTTCCTATCATGAACAAGGTAATGCTTAGGATGTAGGAACATCCAAAGTGAACAGCAATGTAGTTGCAATCAGAATGACGTGCACCTTGGAACTGAACTTGCTGGAGAACATCATAGGTGGGAGAGGGTCATGTGTTTAGAAGATGCTGACAAAATGATTCACTGCAGCATATCTTATTGATAGTACATACTGCTGTCACTGTGCACCAGTGAATGAAGTGAATATTGAAGGGATAAATGAGGATCCAATCAAATAGGCTGCGTTTGTTCTTTGTCACAATTCTGGTGAGTTGATGGAGCTGTATCCATCTGGGCATGACGTACATTCCATCACATTCCTAATTGTGCCTTGCAGAGGTTGCATAGGCATTAGGTCCTGCAGCATCTGTGGAGAGAGAACGTGCCAAAGCTGTTGAGTTACTCCAACAGGTTGTTTGTTTTTTGGATTTTATCATCTGCAGTTCTTGGAAAATCAGACTTTCCACTGGGGAGTTAAATGCTAAAGCATCTCTAGAATCTGATCCGCTCTGGTTGCCACAATATTAATGTGGCTGATACTACTGAGTTTCTGATAAATGATAACGGTGCTAATGGTGGGAGACTGTGATGGTAATGCCATTGAATGCCAGGGCTGATGGTTAGATTCTCGTACATGAAAGTAAAAACTATGGTTGTAAGGAATTCGAAATAAGCAACTGTGGAATCTGGTCTGACAGTATTGGGACAGAATGTGAACGGTGGTCATGGGTGGACGTGTCTGTGTGTGGAAGACAGAGTTGATGTCAAGTCCAATGGCTCATTATTCAATGTGGTCATTCCCACCACAAGTACCAGGCGATGCTACTTGCCACTCAGGAGCCCTAGCTTGATTGCTGTCCAGAACTTGTGCACACCGACTGCTTCAGCACCTCGATCAGTAAACACTTTCTCACTTCTGGCCTCAGAGAAACTATTGATGAAGCAGTTTTAGAGATTGTTGCGCCTAGGAGAGTAAACTGAAGAATTCCTGCAGTGATGCCCGCGAACTGAGATGAATGATCTCCACAACCACAACCCACCTTTCTTTGCATTAGCACATCTTAAATCAGTGAGGAGCTTCACCCAATGTTCATTAACTCTAGCAAAGCTGGAGTTCCTCAATAGCATATTCTGACCTTGACATTAAGACACCATTTGAATTCACTCCCACCTCATCTCTGGGCTTTAGTTCTTTTGCCCATGTGACCAAGGCTGTAATGCACTGGCAGAACCAAACCTGAGTTAGCAAGCAGGATATTCCTTTTCAAGTACTGTTCGACAACACTGGGTAGCCCCTTTGATCACTTTGCTCGTGGTTAGACTGATCCGTCAGTAACTTGTGTTGGATTTGTCCCACTTACTACGCGCAGGAAAGACCTGGACAGGTTGCCAACACCTAGCCAAGATCCAAAACTGGCATCTAGCTAAAAATGTTGGAAAAGTTAGTATCATTAACACAATATTGTAAACCCCATAGCCATTACAATACCCAATATATTCAACTCTTTCATGCATTATCAAGAAGTGAACCAAATTGGCTTATCATCCTGGAGAACATATGAGATAGTTCGGATGCATCAGCCACTTGGCACTTCAGGCCAAGACTGAATGCATATACATCAATGCTGGCTTTTGCGCTGATGTATTGGACGTCAGCATTCGCAACGATGGCAATCTCTGGAGATAACTCCTCCAAGTTGCTCAGTTGTCCACAGTCATGACTAGATGTGAAAGGACAAATCTGTTGGTTGTGGAGATCATTTAGCCCTGCTGTGTTTTGTTTCCACTGTCTGGCAGTTAGTTTCACCAGTAGAAACCAGATGACTTTTTTTGGTATGCCTATTGCTTCCGCTGACATGAACCCCCCATTCTCTTCATTGAGCCTAGGATTTCTCAACTTGTTCACAATGGCAGAATGGAGGAATGTCAGTCCATGGGGTTACAGATTGTAGTTGTAAATAATTCTGATGATAGCCATCAAAGCCTCATGGATGCTCAGTTTCAAGAGCTCAAATGAATCTGAAGTCTATTCCATTTAGCATGGTGATAGTGACACAATAAATGGTCAAGTAATTATCTAGACCAAATGATTCAAAGAATAAACTCATTAGATCAACACAGGCCAAAAAAAACCTATTGGATGTATAAAAAGGTACAACTAAATTGCCACTGATAAATCCGCCAAATGGGTGGGAGGGGATCATATGCTCATTAAACAACCCAACCAGCTCACACCAGACTACCAGGTCAGCAAATTCACTTGCTCACTGGTGACCTTTATCCGGATTACCTCGTACTTCAGTGAAGTTGTCCCTAAACTCATCTCTAGATTGCAGAACTAAAGTTTCTCTATTTTGTCAGTTTATGATCTGCTCTTCGCGTGGCATTATTTTCATAATCTACAGATGTCCTTTTCAAAGTATGTGTAACTATTTACACAACACATTGCAAGATGCTGTAGATCACAACACAAGCTTTCTAATCCTTACTAGACCGCCTCAATAAGCTGTCCCATCACCCAATGATGTCATTCATGACTACTACAAGAATGTAGTCATAAAACTGCAAATTGAATTGCACCTCTGCAGAACCATCAACTTCAATGGAGTCCACATTAAAACTCTCAGATGCATCAAGCCAGACATTCAATAGCCCCCGTTTGCTTCATTCAAAATACTGATGTTGGAATGTGAAATTCTGTGCAGAGGAGTCCCCATTCTGTAAGACAGTTCAGTGTTTCCAATTATGAAAATAAAACTCACAAGCAACTCTATTTGCCACTGCTTTTCAGCAACATATATGAAAACTATTCATGGGCTTCAGACCAGACAGATTTGGATTTAACAGAGTTGAATCTATGCAGTACCTTCAAAAATCACAATATTCCAAGATTTTCCTTATTGTTAGCAAGTTTATGACAATAAGGTTAGTAATTTTAAAATTGAAGTTTCGATCAGAAACCAGCATAGGTCAGAAAGCACAGCAGTGATATGTGAGCTGAACTTAGAATGAAATAACGTACAAGCAGATTTGGAATGAACTTAAATGATTTAGAAGTAGAAAGCCACCAGGACTGAATTGGAATAGTGCAATCTAAAGAAGGCAAGGACATGGATCAGCATCTCAGACGTTGCACTAAGACAGGACAGAAGTTGCAAGGCAGCCTCACTGTTGAAATGGTTGTGCTTGGAAACTCATCTCAGGGTCAAACATAAACTAAGGTTGCAAACAATATGATTTAGCCTCGTAGAGCTACGAAGGGAAGGGAAGGAGCTTATGGTAACGTTTACTTGAATTTCACACTCTCTGAGCAGGAATGCAGCGACATACACGGAAACAACATCCTATTATAATAAGGTCAATATCCATGGAACAGAAGGCAAACTGGGAGGGAAAAAAGATAAGATCTAATCAGTACAACAATCTATTCATGGTATTTTACTGAAGAAACTGAAATTGGCAGGTTTCCCACAGATTGGAGAAAGTGTGTTTACAATTTCCCCCAATCTATCAACTTCCATTGAAAAAGTTAGTTCCCTAGGAATTCCTGATTGAAATCTGCTTTAAAAATTTTGATACTTCCCTCACAGAAATTATCAAAAACAAATGCAAAATTGACTGAATATGTCTACAGAAAGCAGTTTCTCTTGACATAACTTAACTGGCTTATCTTGCAAAATGGTCACAATCCAAACACGATGCAGCAAAAATTGTATCGCTTAATAAATTAGTCCCAATGGCAGCTTAGTTGTCCCACATGCTTTTAGCTTCTCATCACAATTACAAAAAAGAAAAACATTGCCCCAGGGATGATCAGGACAGAGCAATTTACAGCACGGTGAGCAAGTCAAATTTACACAGACAAAACGTGAAGTTCAAATTATTTACCACACTGGTTATTTTGTATGGTAAAAGCACCTCATGTTGCTTTGAAAAGCCAAGAGAACTGCAACTTGAATCCCTAAGCACACAAAGCAGTGAAGTCTACTGCAGATAGATTTAATAGATCAAAAATGTACTTTACAAAAGAAAACAGCATTAGGATATATTTTTACAGTTTCATTATAAGTGGGTCTCCAAACAGTAGCTACCAAGCTTTTCCTAGAATCACAGTTCCCCTACTGCATAATTTCCAAATACAACAAAATGTTCAATTTACTAAAAACAAACTGTACCAAAAAGACCCAGAGAATAAAGTCAGACTCAACCAAACCAAAATGTTAAAATCTGCACACAAGTCTTGGTAACGATCAAATGTTTAACAGTACAAGAAACAGTAGACAATCACTTAGAAACAAAGTTGAACTTTAGATTCATGCAAAGTTCAACATTTTGGCAATTCAAACTGGTATAAAATAAACAAACAACTTAATCTAAATATGCACAGTCTATATGCAGTAAGGTCCTGACTTTAGCTTTAATTTATTGATGACATTAAATTCACTGGAAAATATTAAGCCACAAAACACTACCACATCGCTAATCATTATGTATACTGGATATAGCATAATTAATTCAGACAGGAAAACAATTGTTTCACAAACCAAGGTATAATATTGTCAATCAAGATATTTTTCATATTGGCATTTGGTTACATAAAAATAATCTTTGGCCAAGCTAATCACTGGTAAAATAAACCCAAGGTTGTAGAACAGCAATATTAAGCATACCATTGCAAGCATTCAACAAACAAAATGCAATACCCCGAAAAAGTGCTTTCGGTAAATTTACTCAACATGAATAAAATTACCTTATATTAACCAAGTTTATAATGGTACATCATTTATCCATCTAAAATTCATAAGGTGAGGGGTGATCAAAGTCCAGTATTCCTAAAACACCAGATAAAGGGAGTGTCAAAGAATCCCAGAAAGCAAAAGGTTAGGATTCTACAGGAGATGTACAGCCATAATGATAGCATAGGAAAATGAAAGTAACAGAGACAAGCGTTGCTAATTAGATCGAGGTAGCAGACCAAAACAAGGGATAAAGAGTTTCCAGACGGACTAAATATGACAAGAGATGTCCCCCAGGATATGGACCAGCATGTCAGCATTTGGTTATAAATGCTAGTATCAGACGGCAAATTTTTACATTTCAACTTGCAAATAAATTACAGATAGGAGTGGGAAGTAAGAAATCGGACAAAAATAACTATACAAGTGAGCAAAAACAAGATAGCACAGGGAAAGTGTGAAGCCACTCACTTTAGATCAGACAAGCAAAATCCAATTTCTATTAGCAAGACTGCAAGATGTATAGTGACAACAGAATTTAGGTGCATCGATTATAGTTATTAAACCAATGCACAAGTATGAAATGCAATAATAAGGATGCTGGAATACCCAAGGGTCAAGCTGATTCTTTTCTGTTGTGCACAGCCCCAGCCAGATCTAAAGTTGATAGCTTTACTTGTGCCGAACAAAATTCTAAGGCAGCCATGATTCAACAGGCTACAGCATGCGAAAGGCCTACGCCGCCTCCTATAATTGTAACATTAGCATCACTCTCGTCAGTGTAATTGGAGCAATTATTCCATAATGTCAAAATCCGCAACAACTATACAACGAGCGAGCTCGATGACCAGAGAAAAGAAGGCTGCTAACGCTGCTACGTATATACAACTTAACAGAAATACGGCAACTCCACAATTCCGAACACATTCATTTATACGTTTGGGAGCGATGCAATTAAACAAATAGTAGCAATTACCCATACTCGGACAACTTAAAGAGGGGGTATCATGAAGGGGAAATATCGTAAACACATTTAATTCCAACGACACCACACACGCGGTCCTAGCAACGAATATTGTTATTATCCGAACTGCATGGTTAAAACGTGACTTTCAGAAATACATTTGCTTACTGCAAACCTAACGGCACTTCAGTCCTGTAACCATTACAGCGGGGCACAGAAGGCGGAAGACGCTAATGCAAAGCTTTAGAGAGAAGGAAAAAGAACTAAGATGTAGGGTGGAGAAAACAGCTTTCAAAACAGGTGAACACTGCATTCCTTGGACGGACTGAAAACTAGTCACATTGCTTGAAAATGATGTGCGGCCACATTGCAACCTAGGTCCCTGGTAAAACAGACGCTTCTCTTCCACTGTACTCCCTACAGACACACAAACAAACAAGATGTGAAAGTGGCGCCGAGCTCCGATTCCGCCCCGGTTTGGGGCCTCTCTCATACACAAAATGGCGTCAGGAAGCCGTTTCCCGCTCAGCGCCGACAACAATAAAAACTGATTCCCACCCGCTAGCCTCCCTAAACTCGGGCCTCTCCCGCCTGCGTTTTCCATTTGTCCCGCCTCACCTCTGAGCTTCACCTTTGCGCTCTGACTCTCCTTTCTTATCCCAGTGTCCTTACCACCCCCCCACCCGGACCACTACCACTGTGTGGCCTTGGCCCAGCCACAACACTCACCGTGTGGTCGGGCCTCCCGAGGCACCGCTCTCACGCTCCATGTTGCCGCTTAAAAATCCACCCTTATCTCCTGGAAGAAGCAACCGGCGCCCTTTTGGGGTTGTGAGGGAAAGAGGGAGGGTGCGTGTGTGAGTGAGTGACTTTCCTCTTCTCCCACCTTCTCACACACAGCACCCCCCTCCCCGGCGAAACCTTTCCTCTCGCTCCGGGCCCGTTTTTTACCGTCTCCAAAACACTGCTTGACGCTTAATTTCCCCCTACACCCCTTAAAACCCCCCCCCCCCCCACCCACCCCCGGACACCACTTTAATTCCAACACGAAACGACTCCCCGTGAATCGAACTCCCCGTTCCCCAGATGGCAGAACCCCCACCCCCTCGACAACACCTTATATACTGCCCGCCATCTTGCCTGGGCCCATTGGCCGTGGAGGGCACGTGATGCCCAGCCGCACCACTCCATTGGCCGGTGCCCGCCACGTGACCCTGAATTCGAGACGCCATTGGCCCGCCACCTCAGTATGTGAGTCATAGGACGCCTTTTTTCGGGAAAAAAAACTGTGGCGTCAAGGAGCTAACCCGGCGGAGGGGAAGCTCGCAACGGTGGGAAAATTTCTAAAAGGCGCTTCGTAGGCGGCGAGGGAGAAAAAGGATTGAAGAAAAGGAGGAGGGAGGTAACAGAAATGTTTAACAGGGCAACTGGCCGCCTACTCCTCCCTCCGCCATGTCGGGGGTGAGGATTGGCGGGGCCTTTATCACGTGACGCATACCTCGCCCCGTCACTGGTCGTGACACAACACGTGATGACGGAGCCTTCGTCGGCCGCAAATTTCCAAGCCCCCCTTCCCCTCCCCCCCACCCCAATTTTTTTTCCGCCCTCCCGGCAAGCCGCTTTCGAAATCCACACCAGGCCGGAATCTGGCCTACTCTCCCTGGTTCTCCGACTACAGAACAACGGTCGGCCTAACCACGAAGGTCGCCGCGGTTCTCTGAGAACACAGGGCCGGTCTGCGGCCTCAATAGGCCGCTTCACAACTCTTGTGTATTTTTTTCCCTCTCTCCACTTGCGCCTTTTCGCCGAGGTTTGACCCCGTTTTGGCTTCACCTCCACCTCCCCCTCCCGTCGTGAGAAAACCCAAACTGCCTAGTGCTTCGCTAAAGACGCAGCTTTCGATTTTGATCGCTTTCGCAGTTCTTGTTTGTTTGTGTAATTTTTTTTACCTGTGTTTGTGCGCGCGCGGCGTCCCGGTTCCACACAACCTTTTCGGCCTCTGCGTGACGTCACACGCACGGCGCGTACAGCTGTCAATCAAAACTGATGGGGCCCGCCCCCTCTTAACCCTTGAAGGGCCCACCACCTCTACACATTAACTCTTGAAGGCCAGGTAAAGTAGAGCCTCTAACAAAAACAGAAATTGCTGGATAAACTCAACAGGTCAGGCAGCATCTGTGGAGCGAAAGCAGAGTTAACGGTTAGAGTCCAATGACCCTTATTCAGAACTGAATTCTCTTCACAGCAATTTTTTTCCAGAGTTTTTCCAGCAATTTCTATTTTTCTTTATTTCCGATTTCCAGCATCGGCAGTTCTTAGTGTTTTTTTTGTTTAAAAAAGGACCTTCCATTTAGGTAACGCCTCTCACAACCTAAGGTCAACCCCAATGAAGTATAACAGCTACTATTGCAACATAGGAGATCCACCAGCCAATTGTAGCACAACGACCTCTCACAAGCAGCAATGTTATAAATAACCAAAAAAATGTTTTTGATGATAAATGAAGGCCAGGAAACTGAGAAGATGAAACTCTTCTTCAAAAAGTATTGAGTGTTAATTTTATATCTATCTTAAAGGGACAACTCCCTTAGTACCGCACTGAATGCGAGATTTTTGATGGTTGGCTCTCTGGAATGGGACTTGAACCCACAATCTCCTGACTTGGAATGCACCCGCTCAGTAATTGTTCACACTTTTTCTTCTGTTGCATTTTTTCCTGCTTGAATACTGTATTTCCGTTTCACCAAAATATTTAAATAATTTAGAATTCCCATAATTCTGAGAATTTGGGCTTTTCAGTACTTTTTGGTCTTTAATTGCTAATGAGGTATGCTGAAAATTAACTTAACAAGAATTACGAGGACAGGGAAAGACAAGTGATGAAGAAAAATGAATGTTGGGACTTATTCAAAAGTTGCATGTAAATAATATGAAAATATATACAAACACAAAGGTATGAGGATATATTGTCCTACAGTTCAGATTCTCTACTTAGGGGAAAAGAAATGGAAATCAGTGCTGAAATGTCAAATTTGGCATTTAGATTTTTGCGTGTTAAGAGCTTTTTTTCTCTCAAATTCTGCATTTGACATCGATATTTGCAGTGATTGAGAAACTTCTAATCATTCTTGAAGAAGCCTTCTGGAGGATACCCTGAATGTAGTAATATTCTCTGGTTTATTTAAAACTGCATCTACATCAAGCCAGTAACTTCATGGTTGGACCTACTGTAGAGATAATACTTTGTGGTGCTCACCAATCACAGGAAGAAGCCACATGGCCCATTATCCCTTTGGGGGCTCTTTGAAAGTACTATCAAATTGGACACATACTGCTTTTCCCCAAAAGCCTGCAATTTTTTTTTCTTTTCTAGCTTGTCATAAATATTCAACAAAAAATGGATATCGTATGCTTTGTTTATGGATTATTCATTCAAGTGCTATTTTAAATGTGGCCAAGCAGGCAGAGGCACGATCCTTGGTAACCTTGAACAACTTTGTGAGGTAGGGAAAACATACCAGTCATGATCTGAGTCTTTTATAAGAGTCAAATTTAATTCAATCTCTGAAATGTATTAAAATAGAAGTTTTGAAAATGCTTTATTCATCTTCCCTGCCCCTTAGCATTGGGGTCAAAGATCTGATAAAAGATTCAGATTTTGCACTGTGTTCACTAAAGCTCAGTACTTGTGTAAATTAAAGAATTGAACTCTGCTGTAAAGTCCTTCAAATCAAATGGCTTGCCAACATACTCCTTAGTACAAAATGAGTTAAAGCCACTAGACAGTTATGGAAAGAAGAATGTCTGAAAAGTAGTGGAATCTTCAAATGAGGAGGGCAAAAAAATAAATAAATGGAAGAACGTCCATGATGATGCATAGATGTTGCAAGTGAATATTTTAATGGATTCAATGCAGTTACCTACCTCTATAAAGCAAAAGGATCTTTAGAGAAGCTGACGTACGAGCATGAGAAATGAAAGGCTATTCGGCCCACCCAGTTAATATGTGTAAATTCTTGACTTGTGTTCCAGACAGTCATTTCTCTCATCATGTTTACTAAGATTCATGCCTGTCCCCTCTACTCTCTCTTCATGCAGGAACCCACTCCATTTTCCTCTTATATATGCTTATTGCACTTCGTAGCAATTCATTTCACATGTTCATTATTCTTGTGAATGTGCAGAAATTTTCTGTTGCAACACATATTCTGTTCATGCTTCACACTGTTCACAGATGAAATTCTTCTTTCTTGCCTGAAGCAATGCCAATATTTTAGTTGACTTGCATTGGTTCTCACTTTCAAAGTTCCTGTTTAGTGCTAATGTAAACAATTAGTGAAACCATGGTTACGGAAGCTTCTGACGCTAAATGCAGAATTGTAATTATTGAAACCATGGTGATCAGGTGTTCTATCATTCCTTCTGTTTCAGTTTCCCAATCAGTATCTCTTTTTTTTAATATATCAAACAGTTCAAGTAAACAAATAAATGCTTTTTTCCCTTTGCTTGATGCCTTATTTAATTTCCGTTATTGAATATTTTTCCTCCAAAGCTGATCTTATCAGTGAGCTGTTTCAGAAGAATTAAATAGGGTAAGGGAATTAAGTTAACATTCAGTTATTCTTAACAATCACTGACACAAATATTAAAAGTCTGAGATCATTTCTAGGAGATAGTCCTGGAAAAAGCATTGATTTTCCAGTGCATCTCTTGTGCTAACCTCATGAAGTACGAGAGGATTTTGAAAATCGTGCCTTGGAGGAAATAGCAATCAGTGTAATTTGGTAAGGGAAAGGTAACTGGTGAGCAGGATCTTATTGCAGGATGGATGCAGGTCATGAAGTATGGATGTGATTAAGAAATAGTTGACAAAAGCAGGGTTAGTGTTTCAATTTTTGTGATTAAGGACAGAGTGAACATAAACATGTATAGGAACTAAGCAGACTTGGCGATGAACTAGGTGGAGGATTTGAAGTTCAGCTTAGAAGTGGTGTGAAAAAGCATGGGCCCAAGCTATGCCTGCCTCTTTGTAGGATACGTGGAACAATCCCTCTTCAGTAGCTACACTGGCCCTAAACCCCACCTCTTCCTCCGTTACATCGATGACGGTATCAGCGCCGCCTCGTGCTCCCACGAGGAGTTCGAACAGTTCATCCACTTCACCAACACCTTTCACCCCAACCTTATATTCACCTGGACCATCTCTGATACCTCTCTCTCCTTCCTGGACCTCTCTGTTTCCATCTCTGGCAACCACCTGGAAACCGATATCCATTTCAAGCCTACCGACTCCCACAGCTACCTAGAATACATCTCCTCCCACCCACCTTCCTGCAAAAATGCCATCCCCTATTCCTAATTCCTTCGCCTCCGCCACATCTGCTCCCACGATGAGGCATTCCATTCCCAAACATCTCAGATGTCCTCGTTTTTCAAGGACCGCAACGTCCCCCCTTCAGTGATCGAGAACGCCCTCGACCATGTCTCCCGCATTTCCCGCAACTCATCCCTCACACCCCCTCCCCGCAATAACAACCAAAACAGAATCCCCCTCGTCCTCATGTACCACCCCACCAACCTCCGGATCTAAAGCATCATCCTCCGACACTTCCGCCATCTGCAATCCAACCCTACCACCAAAGACATTATTCCCTCCCCACCCTTATCTGCTTTCCGTGGGGACCACTTTCTCCGTGACTCCCTTGTCCGCTCCACACTCCCCTCCAGCCCCACCACACCCGGCACTTTTCCCTGCAACCGCAGGAAGTGC